GTAATGAACAGTGCACAGTGCTCTAATCGTAATAGCTTATCCAGGACAGTAAAAACGAAAGCTCGCAGCAGAAAGCTGCAGAAGTCTATCCTGATACACTGAGTGACAAGGTGATAAAGTGGCAGATGAAATTCAGAGTTGAAAAATCTAATCTGACATGCATAGAGAAAAACTATCCTAATTATATGTACATGGCAATTGGGTCTCTGCTGGTTGTCATTCAGGAGGAGGTTTAGTTTTTCAGTAGATATAGATAACTCTATAAGAATGTCGTGTCAAATGAGCAGATTCAACATTGGGCATGATTACCAAAGATACAGAGAACAAAATAGAAAATATTATTGTGCCGTCATATTGCCTGTATCCTAAATACTGTGTGTAGTTCTGGTTTCATCTTCCCCATCATGGAAAGTATACAGTGGACCTAGAAATAGTACAGAGGAAAGCACCAGGGATGATCTGGGTAGCAAAGAATGCTGTCTGTGGAGGGAGCTCCTAAATACATTGTTACCTTTCAGGTTGGCATGATGATTTTGGAAGTCTTACAGAGGTTTGAAGTAATAAGTAATGTCACAGATGGGTAAAGAAGAAGTGAATAGACAAAGGGAAGAGTAAGTTTGAACACAAGAATAAGAGGTGTGTCAAAGTCAGTCATGTGGTGGGGCTCAGAGCAAACAAAGCAGGTACCATTTTGGACAATATGTAGTTAAATTTTGGAACGTTGCAATAGGAAGTTGTGAATGTCAAAACTTTGCAGAAGCTCAAAAAGCCTTTAGACAAATTCAAGTGAGAAAATCAGATTACGAGATTAAAAATAAATATGCTTCCACACCCCAAGACTGCTGAGTAGAAGATCCTAGAAATTAGAAGAACGTGCTGGGGAAATACCTTTTCTTCTTATTTTCTGCTGTTCTTCCTGTATTCTTCTATTTTCTGCTGTATCCGCTGTTGGCTGCATTTGCAGACAGGACACTGAACTTGCTTAGTCTGATACAGTTTGATGTTTCTTGAAGTAAGCCAATAATTTTAAGGCATGTCTGTGCTTATAGTTGATCCCACTCCATGAGCACAGAGTGCTGCCTGGTTTAATGAGAAAACCACACTAAAAGGAATGCTTAAATACTACTCTTCTAAGTAAGTGTTAATGTAATCCTTCATGCATGTGGTCTGAATTTATAATTTGTCTGTCTTGTATAATAATGATAATTAAATATTACAAAGTTGCTAACATTGATAGGCCATAGCAAGGGATGTGCGGGATTTTATCTTTTGAATTTCTTCATACCTGAACTTGAAAACAACCATCCTGTATTACTAGGATCTTCAACACAGTCAGAGGCATGACAGGGAGTAACACCTGCACTTTTTATCTTCACTAGGTAGGATGAGGCTGAATTTATCCTTCCTCTGAGGGGAGAGCTATCTATTCTGCTGGAATAAAAAACCTGGCTTATTTAATTTCATTTTATAATGTATTATGCTAGCACAGAAAATATTCCAGAGAGAATGCATAACAGGCAGTAAAAAATGTAGTAATGAGTATTTTAGAAAAATGAGCAGTAAGAGAAGGTACCAGAAATGGAGTGAGTTGCTTTAGTACAAACCCAGAAAGCAACTTGAATATTTTTTTCTGTGTTTTCTGTGAAAGCTAAGATAGGGAACTATTGTAAGAACTGTTGGTTATATACAAGTAAAGTGAAGCCCATTTAGTGTTAGCTGTTAGAATTGTTAAATTCTTGTTCCCTGTATGGTGATTTTTTTTTTTAATGTAATCTGCTGCATTGATCTGTATTTAGAATGGTAATAGCTCTATATAATTTCTTTCTTTTTTATATGTTCAAAGAAAAATAGAACCTGGCATCAGCCTTACTCAGTTTCTGATGCACATACTGCTATATAGAGAAAGAGCTAATAATTTAATTTCATACAGAAAATTGGAAGTAGTTTATTACAGATAGGGGCTGATAGGAAGCTGTGAATAAGCTAAAGATGTATAGAGCAGGGTCCCTCATGTCGTACAGTAGCTGCAGGGTGCCTCGTGTACTGGAGCCTGGGTGTTTGTATGACGTGAGTAGCAAGAAGAAAACAGCAGTGTGAAGGCATCTTGAAGCAATGCTACTTAGTACATCAGATTTCTTTTTGTGATTAAATTTTATGTTGTTATTGAGAGAAGAGTGTTCTTACCTACAAATCCCAGAATAAAGGTCACTTGTCTTGAAAATGTTCCACAGCCCTTCAGTATGAGAGGTACTCTGTCCACAGGTCAGTCTTTCTGTAGGTATGTATTTTTCTAAGTCCTGCTGTGGGATCTTTGAAAATTCTTTCTGCTCTGTAAAGGCAGGTCACTCTTGTTTTCTGTACGCTCTTCCAAGCTGTATTAAGAGTTTGAAAACTGACTGTTCTCCATAAGTTAAACTTTTATTATGCTAAAGGTGAAATAAAGTGGCAAATTAAGATGTGTACAGTGTGTAAGACTATTTTATCTTCCCTGTGATTGTTTACGCCATTAGCATAGAGCTACAGAATTTAGCATGTGGATTTGAGAATACCATCTGGTTTTATCTGAAGTATCTGTGTATAGCTAGAAGTAATCCTTTGATCACAGTCTTTCATAACCCTTTTCCTTTCTCTCTGTAGCCCTTGACTGCAGGTAGGGCAGCAGAAAGATGATTAATTACACTTGTTGACACTGTTTCCCATGCAGCTGAAAAAGGTATGATTGATCTGCAACCTCTTAATCAGAAGAAATTCCCTATCTGATTATATTATATAGCAAGTCCTTCACTCCTTGTCCACTCATACTGAATGTGTGTCTACCTTATTTCCTAGCAATAGAGATTAGATACAGATTAGATGTGAGCACATAATAATATTTCTGATGAGTCAGCTGGGGCACATGTCATAGCATTTCTCTTGGCTTTAGAAAGAAGGTGATATCTGATCTGGCATGAAATCCACTGCAGAAAATTACCATTTTGAAAACTGTGGAAAAAGTATATATTAATAGATAAATTCGTGGCTTTCTGTTGTTCATTTGTGGCATTTTTGACCCATTGTTAGGACTTTTTGGAAACATGGACTGGCATTTGATTTGACTTAGCAGTTGGAGGACATTTGTTTTTTCTAGCTGTTCCACAATACTTCATGGGGTGCTGTGAGACTGAAGGAAAGTACAAAGAACCATTACCAAGATGTTTTATGGGTTTTTTTGCACAGGTAAATGCAAGGTTAGTGTTAAATTCATTTGAGTTTTAGGAAGTTAGCAAGTTGCTGTTTGTCAGCAAGTTCCTGGAACAGGCTCTTTGCCTCCTCAGCTGTGTGGTGAAACTTGGCTTAGTTTTATTCTGTGCAAGGCAAAAATCAGACTACAAAGTGCCTCTTTGCTGCTTGAAAGAGAAAATGCCACAGGCATAGCCTAGTACGTTTCTCTTTCTCACTGGCTGTGTCTCACACCGTTTTTCTGTGTGGGCACAGATGTTTTCAGTAGCTGTGGACTGTGTGAGCCAGAATAAACTTTGCTGTACCAGTAAAGAACATTCCTGCAAAATTAAAGAATGTAGATTTGTCCTTATGTGTCATGAGCATATGAAGAAAAAAGGTGTAACATTCCTGTATCAGAATACTTCTTTAGTATGTGGCTTGGGAACAGCAAATGACTTTTCATTTAACAAGTCACTGTTTTTCTAGACACTGAGACTACTGTAGGTCTTTAAGATGATGTTCTCCCAGCGATTACTGCATCCTTATTAGAAAGGAAAGGGTTTATAGGAAGTAGGAGGTTCTCTTAGGCTATTTTCAATTATTTCCTTTTGAAAAAAAATGGTAATTTCCATCTCACTTGAACATCTTACAGTTAGTTTTAAATAGTGAAATGTGAGATTGTCCTTATTGCCTTAGGTCTGTATTCCACCTCTTGATGTGTCACAGTACTTCTGCATCTCATAGTTTGTATGTAGGGAGGAAATCGCTCCAATCTCAGTTTGTTGTACTAATGTGTCATGTTCAGTCTTTATAGAAACTGTCATAGAAAAGACAGTCATAATTGCAGAATGGTGGGGAAAAAACCCTGTGATCTGCAGAGCATTGCATTTATAACTGACTGTGCTGGCTTCTTGCAAGGGAAGGTGAACATGCCTAGAACTGATACCATGCAGTGGAGCAGAGAAGGTAGAGAAGTTCCTTGTTCCTCTGGGCCTAAACTGGGAAGCTTGAAGTACCTCACCAGGGCTGGATGCACGGACACGGGCTGAGCTGGGAGCTCCTCTCTGAGGCAGGGTGGTGGCAGCCACCAGTGCATGCCACCTTTTGAAGTCCTGGGGAACTGTGCATTCATACAAGTGTTCAGATTTATAGGTGTTCATCAGTGATAGCACCATATATGAAAACAAACTCTTAACCTTTTGATTTCACAGAATAAATGTTATTTGTCATCTTTAAGCTTGCTTGACCTTTAAGAAGAACTGTGGCAACTCTGCTGAGCACTAGACACATTCTTCTGGCATTACCATCTTCAGAAAAGAGTGCTGTTGCTGCTGCACGAAGTGTGCATGCATCATCACATCTGGGACACATCTGGGAGTCTGAGGAGCATGGGTGTGTGGCACAGCGGCAGCAGCAAGGTGTTGCGGCTGACCGGGGAAGTGTCAGCTGTTGGGGTCCACTTTACCTGGCTGTAGTTAGCTGGTACTTTTTTGGCCAGAGAGTGGAGAGGCAGGCTGTGATTTCAGTTAACACTACACTGATGAGAAAAGAGAAAAAATGAGTCCGCCTGTAAAGCCGGCTTCCAGCTTGTTGGTTGGTTATTGAGACACCTTTAATGTCCATCATGAACCCAGGTCATGCGATGCTGCACATACCAAAACCTTTGTAACTGAAGGAACTTGTGTGCAGGTGAGTCAGCATCACTGGAGCAACACTTATTCCTTGGATGTATTGAGTTAAGCAGGGCTGCTTGTTCCTGACCCTGCAGTGACTTCTGCTTTGTGCAGCCATTTCGGGAAATGTGTTGGGGAGCTGGTTTATTGTTCCGCCTGCTAAATACAAAATCAGCACAGCTAGAACAGAGGAAATCTCTCACACCTCCCAGCCAGATCAGTCTTCTCTTTCTATATACTGACCAGCTGCACAAAGCTAGCACCAGCTACAGTGGAGGTGTGGTAATGAGTGATGGGAGGCATATCTGCCTAGGGTAGTTCTTCTGCTGGAGAAGTGGACATCTGGTGGGAGTAGGGCTGCAGTTTGCTGCCCAGTGTGTCTGAGGTTTCCAAACTCCAAGCCTTCCCTTCACAGCACCTTTTGGTGTCTTAAGTTGTAATTGCATAACTTCTCATCATTGTGGTTGTTTTATGGTTTTTGGTTTTGTTTTGTTTTGTTTTTTTTTCCCAGAGAGATGATAATTTCTAGTGAATATTTAAAAGTATAATTTTACCTGTTAAAATGATTGAAACTCCTTAGTTTAAGAATATGATGCTGATCTTATTTTGCCTTTCATAATTGGATAATAGTATTTGAGTTTCAGAGTATTGTAAGATTTCTCCTTCATTTGGAAAATTTGGGAATCTACACCAGCCTTATTTTTGTGCTACATTACTCTTTGTTCTCCCTAACAATATATATATAAAAAACAATATATATATAAAAGAAACAATATATATAAAAGAAACAATATATATATATATATATAAGAAACAATATATATATATATATAAGAAACAACATACATATATATATATATATATATAAAAAACATCTTGAGAAGGGGGCCCATGTGAACCTTATGAGGTTCAACAAGGCCAAGTGCAATGTCCTGCATCTGAATCAGGGCAATCCCTGGTATCAATACAGGATGGGGAATGGAGGGATTAAGAGCAGCCCTATGGAGAAGGACTTGGGGGTACTTGTGGGTGAAAAGCTGGACACAAGCTGGAAATGTGCAATTGCAGCCCAGAAAGCCAACTGTATCCTGGGCTGCATCAAAAGCAGTGTGGCCAGCAGGTCAGGGAGGCAGTTTTCTCCCTCTACCCAGCTCTTGTAAGACCCCACCTGGGGTGCTGTGTCCAGCTCTGGGGCACGCAGCACAGGGTTGACATGGACCAGCTTGAGTGGGTCCAGAGGAGGGTCACAAAAATGATCAGAGAGCTGGAGCACCTCTCCTATGAGGTCAGGCTGGGAGAGTTGGGGCTGCTCAGCCTGGAGAAGGGAAGGCTCCAGGAAGACCCTATTGCAGCCTTTCAGTACTTAAAGGGGTCTTATAAGAAAGATGGGGACTTTTTAGTAGGGCCTGTAGTGATAGGACAAGAGGTAATGGCTTTAAACTAAAAGAGGGTAGACTTAGAGTAGCTATAAGGAATAAATTTGTATGTTGAGGGTGCTGAAACACTGGAATGGGTTGCCCAGAGAGGTGGTAGATGCCCCATTCCTGGAAACATTCAAGGCCAGGTTGGATGGGACTTTGAGCAGTCTGATCTAGTGGAAGATGCCCTGGCCCATGACAGAGGTATTGACTAGATGATCTCTAAAGGTCCCTTCCAACCCAAACCATTCTATGATTCTATATTATATACCATACTTTGCTCATACTGTATCCTGAAGTGGTCAGAGTAAAAGCATTTAAAGTATAAAAACTTACACAACTTTTATAGTTTTAAAATCTGCTTTTCTTGAAATCTGTCTTCTTTTCTTAGGTCCCCAAGTACTTGTCACAACAGTGGAATAAAGCTTCAGGAAGAGGTGAAGTGGGAAAACTAAGGATTGCCAAGTAAGACTTTACTGTACCTTTATTGGTTGCAATTTTTAGAAGTTACCTACAGTAAAACAGATTATGTTACACCTCTTATAATCCTGCTTATTGCAAACACTGTGCATATTTCTCTGATACCTGAATACTTGCTTGTATACTTGCTTGTATAGTGATTATGAAAATAAATTATATGAAATTACACTGGGAAGTGTCTGTATCCCATTACATGATGTTTGATTTCTTAAACCCAAGAAATATGCACATCTAGCTGGAGAATGTTAACTTACTTGTGCTATTTTGCTGCTTCTGTTCTCACCTGCTGACTTTACCCTTTATTCTTGGGCATCAGCATAACAAAAATATTGAGCAGCTCAGGAGTGAAGATGAGTAACTAATCTAGAATTTGAATTTGCTTTTTTATCAGGGAAGCTAAACTTGTGGAATTAGATTATGGAAACTAAAACATGAAATATTTTCTTTTACAGAAATCAAGGAAGAACAGAAGTAAGTAATTACTAAATACAAAGGCTGTGAACGTGTTATATTTTGAATTCTAAAAATTGTTTAGAACATGCTGGTTTCTGATGTCACATCTTTTTTGTTACACCTGTAAAGAAGCATTGTACCACAGAATCAGGAGGAGAGAATTCTGTTCATAGCTCTGCCCATGGTTTTACTGTGGCACTTTCATCAGGTCTCTTTGTTCCCCAAGTTTGTTTACTCGTCTGTAAGCAGCAATTGTAGTAGTGACCTTCTCTCCAAGCCTTTTGAGATGTATTAGTGCAAAAGACTGTCTGAGAACTAAGGAGGATGATGATAAAGCAAAAGAATTTGGAGATGGAGGGTTGTGATTTCAGAAAGTACTCTGTCTGGTATTTGGAATTTGGTCCTGTTAAATATAAAGCAACTTGAAGATTTTTCTGCAGTGCAAAGGTAACTGCTTTTATTAGCAGCCTCAGTGAATGGCAGTAACTTCCTGTATCTTTTACAGGAGATAAGGAAAGTTGCATTAGTTAGAATTACTTCAAATACCACATATGTCTGTCACTGAATTGGAAGAACTGTGGGTTGAAAAGTGGCAGGGAAGCAAGCTGCATTCGCCATTTCATAACCTGACCAGGCTCCTTTTAGAGTAAGTGGAGAGAGTTCCACTGGAGGTTTGAATGTTCACTTGGACTCTTCTAGGCAGGAATATGAAACAAACCTCCCTAATTTTGTGAGCTCCACACCAAAATCTTGATACCGATGACAGCCACAAAGCTCATTTTGCAGTCTGTGTAGACCCAAGTGGTGAGGAACTCCTGAGAAAGTATGGCTTCCAGGGGACCCTGTTGCTGCATGGCGAAATGAGGCTTAGCAGGATGGCCAGGAAAAGCACGAAGTGCGGGTCTGAAATCTCTATCTTCAGGTTTCTTGCTGTGTCCTGCAGTTAGGGATTCTGGTCACCCAGTCCCCCCAGTACCTCCTCAGCTTCTGTATTGGGTATACAATGTAAACATAGCAAAGGAGCCCTATTTTAACCTCTCCTGGGCCACATGCAGTTCAGGAGTCCCCAGGCTAATAACACTTGTAGTGGTACATTAGCACTTTTTCTGGAACTCAGCTGGCTGTGCAAAACATTTTAAAGCTTTAATAAGTAAAATCACATTGTTCTCTGACTTCAGGAGGAATTAATTGACAATTTTTTAAAAGATAAGTAATTTTATAAGTACATGAAAGCTTTGGATTCTGTATTTCAACTAGAGATCAATATAGTAAGACTCTTATTCCACTCTTTATGTTTTTGAAATAGAAATGTGCTATACTACTTGTGTTTTCTCTCTTTTTGTTTCCCCATAACTCGTAAAGCTGTGTAACTGAGTCTGTTTAGTAACACTGTGGTAATTGTGACTGTTAGGTGTCATTTACTTTGAATGAAGAGCTTGCAAGCATCAATGATATTGGAGGAAAACCTGCTTCAGTCAGTGCACCAAGGGAACATCCATTTCTTTTGCAAAGTGTGGGAGGACAGACCTTAACAGTGTTCACAGAAAGTTCAGTAGGTAAGTTAGAATTAAAGTTATTTGTTATGATTCCAGTGTACATTATTTCAATAAACTGAATGTTCTAAAGACCAGAAGATTCAGAAGTCGGATTTTGGCTCTATTTTGTTGTTACCTGCATACGTAAGACTGTTGTACTTTTTTTGAGTGTCTGTCTCTTTTCTTCCTATGATTGAGCAACTAATTTAAGTTCTCCACATGGGATTATCATGTACATTTCAGCGTGGGTCTGCTGAAGAGAATAGAGAGAGCATGGAGTGCAGCACATTTTGTATTCCCCTTTAGGGTTTTCAGTGGAAAAATGTTTTTGTGTTCCCATGTATGTTTGAGATCAACTGGTTTATTTTTTTTCTCTGCTGTGATTATAGTTTTATAAGAATGCTCATTCTTCCTTTGTCCAGTTGAACAGATCTATTTTAGCAATAAACACATCTGTTAACCACCCTTTCTTTATGTATGTATATGGTTTAAATGTATTAAAGCTTAATAAGGTCGTAATAACAGACAGTCCAGCAGTAAGGTTTTAATTTTTCTTGCTGGATTTCAGCTGTTCGGCCTGTCTTAAGTTCAGCTCAGTAGCTGTATATGTGATTAGGATATTCAAGATCATATGTCCTAAATTGCATGTTAGACTTAAGGAACATGGTAGTATGGTCATGTTCTGGATGTTAGAGAGAGAAGGAAGGTGTCTGCAGAGTGTATCTCATGTCTGCAGAAGGTATCTCAGTTTCAGGCACTTAGGTTGTCTCTAGAAGACAAATAATAGTAATATTTTTTGATACTCCTGCCTTCTGTGGGATAGAAAACTACAGTGTGACCAGCTTCCGATGTTTTGATGTTCACAGGCTTTTAAGTAATTGCTGTGATGGCAGTGTGATGTTTTATCAAATAAATAAGGGAGGGAGAATCGTAACTCACAGGACAGAGTTAGAATACTTACTAAGTTTGACCACCTCTTTTCTAAAATTAGTTTTAAAGATTTAATGACTGAACATTGAGATATTAAGGTACAGGTAGCTTGCCTGTTTAGTTGTGTTTAGAAATACAAGCTCTTATGCTACAACTCGGGCACTTTCTATTTGTTATCCCCTTCTTTGAAATGAATGTAATCATGTTATTGGTTTTTCACTTTTTAAAAAAATTGTATTTTCACGTGTGTGACTTGCAACAGTTTAAAATACTGCATTTTATAATTCATAGATTACAAATGTGGGAAGAGATAGGGAGGGAGTTTTCAAGAATGTTGCAGGCATTTTAGTAGTACCTCATCCTTTTTCGTTTCTCTGTGCCCCAACCTCAGAATGCTTGACAGAAGGGAAAGATTTCAGGTGTGAAGCTGTTTAGAGTATACATTCAGAGATTTTTGCATGTTTTCTGTGAATTGCATGGGACTTTGATTCCTAAGACACCTTTTCATACAAAATATTGCTTAAAAACCCTCTAATGGTAACTTATGCTGCAGTGAGTGCAAATGCTTAACTTGAATGTAGAGTCATCAGTTCGAATTAAAGTCTTTAGAGTGTGATAGTTAGAAGATGCCTATTTATTTCTGTTTTACCATCTGTAATACTAGTGTCTCGAAACCTTTAGGTACTTAGAAGCTGCCCAATTTTTATTTAATCAATTAAAAACTTTGCATTTCTTAGCAACTAGAAAATGTTATTCAAGGACCATGAGTAGAAGTTATTAATCAGGAGCAAAGGGTAGTTAGTGAAATGAGAAGTGTTTGGAATGAAGCACTAAATAAGCATAGACCCTGTCAAAATTGGTTTTGCTTGAGATTAGCAAGCATAACATGCAGTCAATGAGTTTTCATGAAACTCGCTTAAATGCAAAATGGCTAAAATGTGTTGCTGTTGTGTTAAAGCTGGTGTTGGCAGTGCAATCAAAAATAAACAATAATGCGCTTTTCTTGCTTGAATTTTTTTTCGTTATAAAGATGAATGTCACACAAATATTCCAAATTCCAGTCAGATTTCTTGCAGACACCATGTTCCTGCAGCCACACTTTAGTGTTTAAATGTGTATTGCCAGTATGTTTTGAGCTCCATGGCCAATTTCAACAAATTTGGTAGTGAATTATGGATAGTGTGAAAACAGATGTCTGAAGAGTGGAGTTAAACTATATGGATATCCCAACTGAAAGAAAGGCTGCTACCCTATTTGATGCCAGAAAGTCCACATGGAAAAAAACACTATAATTATATCAACCATGGGAAAAGACTCAATAAAAACGTACACGTCTTTGCACATCAGTCAGTCCTCAGTAAGAGACAGTCATAGGAACTGAAATTCATTCTTTATTATGTTCACAGACCACTACTTGTCTTCAAATTATAATTTGCACATTTTTGTCAGAAATATTGGTGATCTTGTTCCTTTTTCTTCTGCAAAGTGCACCATGTGAGAGAATCAATATGCCAGTTTGAACCATGGGCGGAAGATCAAGCTGGTGTGGAACTGCAGATGGCATTGCTAGTGTTGCATCTGGAAGGATGCATTTGAGAAATTATGCAAATGAAATACGGATAAAAAAGTGCTTCATGTGCTATTGCTCTCGGTCAGTACCCTTGTTGAGGACTGAATTTACCTAAAATGGAACAAATGGCATAAAACACTTGTGTTTGTTTCTTTTGTAAAGGGTAGGGGGTTTTGGTTGTGGGTCTGGGGATTTTTTTTTTCCATTTTTTGGAGCACATTAAAAGCTGTAACATCTATTCTGTGTGCTGACCTCTAATCCTGGGATCCTTATGTTGTAGTGACAATCTTTTTGATAGTTTTTCAGAAAATGAATTGAGGGATGACAAAGCTGTCTCTGAAATATTTTGTAGTCTTGGAGGATACTGCAGGGAGTTTACATATTCTGGATAATTCAGCACTTCATATTGACTCCTCGGGTCACTTAGAGCAAGCAAAAAAGATCAAATTTGACAAGTAATTTAATATTTTCTGCATGATGTAATTTCTAGACTTCTGAGTGGATTTTCTGTGGTTTTAGGTTTTTTTAATCTTAACTGAACTTGTTTCTAATAGCTGTTGTAGTTGGAAGAAATCCTTTAGTTCTTACACGGTAAACCTCTGGTGGTCCCATATTAGTTACTGGACAGCAGTAAGCTCTTCTGAGGTGCCATTTGTTATATTCAGAGACTAATGAATTGCAGTTTCATGGTCATCTGCAGTGTGTGTACTAGATCTGAGGTAATATAAAGCTGGATAAAGTGGATCCCATCCCAGATAATATTAAAACAGGTCTATGTTGGCTTTCACAAATGGTGCACTTTCTGTTTAGACTAACTATGGGGTTTCTTCTGTTTCTTTTCTTTTCCTATTTCTGTATTTTGAAATAGCTCTAATGGATGATACAGAGTAGCACAATGCACTCTGAAAGCAGTAGTTTGCAGGGCTGTTTGCACATGTGAGACATTGTGTTGTTTTTATTGCCGGACAAATCGCTAAGACCTGCCCTGGTATTCCTGAACATCAGTTTAACAAAGCTGGCGGGAAGCGTGGCTTCTCTGATGTCTGCAGAAGGATCCAAAGCACAGTTGTCTCTTGCTGTCTAGGTCTTGCTGTCTAGGCTGGTTTCAGTATTATTTCTGCATTAAATATGAACTACACTCTATTCCATAAACATCACCATATGTACATCAACAGTTGCTATGCAACAATGCTATTTGTGCTTCTAGTCATTTTATCTTATCTTTGTCATCAGCTATCATAGCTGTAAATTTTTTGGGCGGGAGGAAAGGAGAGCATTTTGCATATATTTCAATGTGTTGTACTGAACAAAATGAATTTTTCTTATACATGTATAGCTAAAGAACTATCTAGGGGAAAGTCATGGGTTTGATGTGTTTGGTTAAAATTGTTTTTTTTCTGAGCATCCTACTGGCAGACACCCTGGCATAAGGAAGTGCTATAATTTGACAGCTTCTTTCTTGGTTGAAGGAATGGGAACATGCTTTGTTAAACATTTAACAGCAAACTTCTCTGATTGTGATTATAAATTAATTCCCTTACTGCTTTAATTGCCTGTTGCTTAATTTTTCTCCCAGCAGGTAGTTTAGGATTGCAAGCTCTAAATATAAATAAAAAATGCAGCTATGTTATAGATAATGATAAAACTTTCTTACTACGCTAGTTCTTGAAAAAATGTTCTACTAATGTGGCTTGGGAAAACACAGACCTTGGCAGGCAATTACATCCCTAACTGTAAAGGACTGATCGATGGAGAGGAAGATGTTACACTGTAGGCACAAATAAATTATAAGATATTTTTGTAAAGTTGGGTGAGATGACTCATTTTATTGAAATCTTGAATGTATCTTCACAACTCCCCCTTCATAAGTGGGATTGCCTTAATGCTTGTTTTAGTGACTTTAAATTCCTTCATGCTTACTGAAAGTTAAAAGCGTTCAGAGAATTCCATTGACAGAATGACTACCAGACCTTTGTTTCTGGGCAGCATTCATGCATGGATTGTTTCACTGTTTCATGCTTCACAGAAGATTGTTGTCTCTTAACACTGCATTCTTCACCAGTTTTCTGAGTCTTCTTTCAGAATCTTAGTTCATGAAATTCAGGTTTTTTGTATTACTGTTCAATAATACATATAACTCTGCCTGTACACCTTAGAGCAGCTCCTTTATTCCCATATCCGTTGAATATTCTCCCCTTGTTTTGGGTTGTATTTTTTTCTTTATTCACAATCTCATATATGAAAGGACCTTTTCTGAATTTGTACATGAATCATGCCTGCTATATGACTTACAATGAGCGATTGTATTCCAGTCAAAATGAATATTCAGAGGTTTATAGTCTGTATTTTGTATATTTATTTTTTGAAATATCAGATATATCCATCCATTTAAAGAAATGTGAAGGGAAGGAACACTAATAAAAATCCTGGAAAGATGTTTCTTTAATTAAATCAGTCACTCCTATAATTACATTTAATGATTTCCAGTAAAATATATAGTGCTCAGAATCTTGATGCCTTGTGATACTACTACTAATCTTAGTACATGTATGTTTAACTTCTCAAATTTTTCATCAAACTCTTATTTAGGAAATAAACACCCACCCTCATCGTTATACCATGCTGAGGAGTTTTGACGTATACCTGTCTACTTGTAACAGTGATTTCCAGTTATCTCTCTTTGTTCAGGCTGTCCAGTCTCCAAAATGCTTTGGGTCTTAATGCTTCTTTGTTCCTTTATGTACTTCAGTCTTTTACGGACTATTAGCAGAAGAGGAAAACTTATCATCAGCCTCATGATCAAAAGAAATAGAAGCAACAGCAGCCTTTGAGATCTCTGGCATTTATGCAAATTTCCAAATATTTGTGAGGATCATAAAGATGCAACCCATGATCAGAAAAGCAGAATATGTGACTCAAGCTAGTCTAATTACAAACAGCATTTTGATGGTTCAGGATTTTGTATGTATTATTGTTATATATGGTCCATTTAGAAAACAACTGATGGCTTACATCATCTCTAAAAAATGAAAACTATGTTTACTTCATATGGGTGTTGTGAGGATTAACAAATTACTATAAAGTGAGTTCAGCTGGCTGACAGGGGTAAACTCCCAATTTTCTTTTAATTTTTGTTGTTAAAACTATAGACTGTTTATTCCTGTACAGATTTAAACAGTAGAGGATATAATGCATAAAATACATGGTATGTTTAGAAAGGGCTTGGTGTGATGGGAATAGTATTGGCTTTTGGCCTGCTTCATTGCCTTACACTTTCTTTGTTTTTTCCGGTCTCACTCATGTATGTGTATAAAAACCTACCCTACCCCCGCACCCTCCCCCCAAAAACCCAAGAACAAAAAACCCCAACCCAACCAACCCCAACCTGTTGATGTTTATCTGTGAATCTTGCATGTTGTGGAGGAGGCTGAGCAGCTGTAGTCTGCCTTGATAAAATATATCGAGTAGATACAGTACAATGTCTTTTACATTCTTTATAATATTAGTACTGAGAAGATTTTTGAAACAGACTTGTGACTGAATCATAACAACAACAAATTGTCTGATTGTGAGAAAAAACCCACCACTTCTTTGTGAGCCTTGAATTTTATCTGCTTTTTTGTCTCTGCTGTTGAGGGTAGATTCTGTTGATCCATACAAGCAAACACACACACACACTCCCTCTGTAGACATGATACACGTTTATTGTTATTTGAATCAGAGATGCTATTAACAATTTTGAAATGTGATGTCTTATGCAGTAGTTTTGGTTAGGTAGCTAGTCTTTCATTGAAACAGAGTTTAAAGAAACAGCTTTAAATCTGGCTGCTTCTTACATCTTGGTCCAGGCAGGGCTTGATAGTATGTTTGCATGTTCTTTATTATGCCCTCTTTGCTTCTTGTCTGTGTACTGAATGTTTCCTTAATTGAGTTACAACCGAGTTAGGGCATTGGTTGGTAGTAACATTATTCTGTAAATGTGCTAAATACATACAAAAAATAATGTCAATTAGAAAATACATGGGTTTTGACAAACAGGCTATCCTGCATGTATTTCTGAAAGTTGTCAAGGATCTTAACTCTCTTTGTGCATGCTCACAGGTGGGAAGAGGTCATATAATGATGTTTTCTCGTTGAAAAAGCATGTGCCTTCAGCTGCTAAGTCTAATGACAGCCACGGGTAAAGAAAAGAGGATCTGTGACATACTGCTTTTTCCATGTGCATTAGTCCTCAGGCTGTTAGCTGTCTCAATCAGAAAACAGGGCTATTGGCCATGAAAGCCAGCAAGAATCAGTTACAAGAAAAAGGTTTTGTGAAATATTTTGTGTTTTCAGTTCTGTTAATACTCAGCCTGTAAATAGCAGAAATGATCAAACTGAACTCAAAAATTACTCTTTAGTTAGAGCAGTAATTCACTCTCACCTGTGAGTAGTCTGTAATGATAACTGTGACATGTCTGAGTTGAAAGCTAAGGACAAGTATGTTTTACCATTTTTAACTGTATTTCAGATAAGTGAAAATGTTCTTTTTATTCTCTACATTAGAAGATGTGTAAAAATGAGAAATATAGGAGGAGCAGTGAAATTTCAGGTTGACAAATTTATGTAGGGGTTTAATTTCATAGGGCTTGGTAAGTGTTAGAACTCAGTTTACCAAAATACATCCGCCAGCTGCCACTTATTGAAATGTGGGGTTGGAATTTCATGCAGAAAGCTGTTTCTGAATCTGACTCTACCATTCACCCGAGTGATAATTTTTTGGCGAGTCACTTTGCAACGCTTGTGTCTAGGCTTTTCTTTCATATATACTTTGATTCTGCTCTGTGGAACAGGGGACGTTTCTGATTATGGTTTTTTTTTGTACCTAAGAAGTTGGGCTATAGTACTATTTGAAGACCAATGTTCAGAAAGGAAAAAGATTGAAGAAATAAATTCTTACATGATCTGCAGAAAAGGTAGAGAAGAGGTTAATCAGTCATGTTCAGAAATTTACCTAGTGCCAATTAAAGAGCATTCTTTTGCAGATTTTTTTTATTAAGTATACCAGTAATATTCATTTGTCCAGAGTGACCAGTGAGATAAATGGATGCTATTCATTGTTTTAGCATAATCCTACTACTGGTTTTGTATAAATGTGTAACTTCATTCTTGCAGAGCTCAATCAGAGGTGTAATGGAGTTCTCTCATTTAAATTGTGAGTTTGGGCAGTGAAGGAGGTTATTTTTTTCGTTGCTCCTGGTGGCTAATTACTCTTCAGCAAGTAAATTTATAAACATTAATCAAATCCAGTGATTGTGGATTTGTTGTCATTTATCATTCTCTGCTTTGCAACCCACTTTTTAGATGTAATTTCAAATAATCAACACAGAAACATTATATTTCCTTTTTTGTTTAATTGTTGGTTTTTGTTTTTGTTTTTGTTTTCCAGAAAGCCAACCGGAAGAAAAATCTGAAAGCAGCAATGCTGGTGAGTATGGACACTTTCCTTGAAACACTTAAGAAATTACTTATGACTGCAGCTTTTCAGTTGTAACTTTTCAAGAATTCTGTAGATTAAAAAAAAGGGGTTTTTTTATATTTCTAAGGTAGAAATAATTAAATTGAAAAATTACTTCATAAATTGATTATCTGCTGCAACCAAAAGTTAAATTATTAATATTTTTTATTTAAATGAAGTTGAATAAAATGATGAGGGAGAGCTATAGAAATGTAATGTTCTTTGGAATGTTATTTTAAATTTTTTTTATTATTTCTCAGCTCTCTTTTTTTAGATTCATTATATTTTTTAGTTTGAATTCTTCTCTCTTGATTGGAAAGTATGTAGCAAATTCCCAAATCTTTTGTTGTCAGAAAAATAGTGTGTCTAGTATTGTACTTTATTCAGTTTTTCTAGTGGAGAAAAATGTTCTGGTGAAAGTTGTATAAATTCTTTGGGAAGAGTAAAAAAGGGTTAGTTCACTGGTATTACTTATCAATTACATGTTAGTTAGTCCAACAATGTCTGAAGTACAGTTAAAAATTCTAAGGTCTCTTCTCAAACTGCATTCACCATAGTAAATGTGTTTGGGTTTTTTTACACAGTTCAGAGTATTACCCTTCGATTGATATTTTTCTGTGAGATAGGCAACGCGCTTATATCAGATAAGATATCTGCCTTAGGAATCTAAAGATTTCATTTCAGGTCTGAGCTAGTCTGTGCAGGATTCTTTTACAGTCGCTGAAGGAGACAGTTCCAGAAAGTCTTACTCTAATGTGCAAAGTGCAATTCTCCAGCAGCTGGAGCAGAGCTCTTTTGAGGCTGTGTATTCCTAGCCTGCTCCCTTCTGCTAACCCTTTGGGCTTACATTACTGAAACTCCCAGATAGTACATGACAGGATGAGAATCTTACAGTGTAAAGTAGTGTTTAATAAAAAGTCCCCTTTTTGGCTTTTATTAAAGAGATGTTTCAAAAATATCATTAACATACTAGCGCAAATAAGTGCCAGTGTTAGCAGGAGCCTGTGAACCTGGGAAACTAGACACAGCTAATATTAAATATATATAGGCAAATCTCAGTTTTGTTAGTAGAAGGATTACCTCTGATGAACACAGATTAAATAGTACTGGGACTGGGCTGGCACTCATAAATGGTAATGACAGAGATAGCAGATGGACTGGAAAGAGTCTCACGCCCATGCCTTTCTTAAAAAGCAATTCCTAAACATAAGACTAATGCTAGTGGGTTTTCAAAATGTCTTCTTGCAAGTAATTTTTTTGGACACTTTAACATGGCGATGTCTGTTTTTTCTAATGTTTGACTTTTATTTGAATTGCATTTCAGCATCAAATGTTGTCAAAAGTGTATACTTTGCATCTGGCTGGAAGTAGGGTTTGGATTTTGTTTTTTGTAGGAGGGAATTCTTTGTAATACTGAGAGGCTTTTTATTACACTGGCTTAAGCATGTCAAAAGATTAGTATTAGAAATATTACAGTCTGTAGACTTGTACTGAATCCAAGGTGGGGTTTACAGCTTGCAGTTTTTCTTAGTTGTTAAAACATGTTCACTGATTATATGTTGATTGTGGTGCGGTTTTAAAGTTATGAAGGGCTACTTTCTAGAGATTAGTATTTTATACCAGTTGAAAACTGAGACTCTCTGCTGTGGGATGTTGTGTGTAAAGCAGATCTTGAGAGTTTAACTGCTAAAATGAATCAGAATTTTGATCCTTACTTTGCATTTCTCTGATGTTCTTTAGTTGTAGGGATGCGCCCTTGGTTTTTGCTTGGCTTTTGGGGTTTTTACTCTGTTTGCCTTTGAATGATTGAATTGTTTGCTCTTCATTCTTGGTGTGTCCTCTTTGTTCTACAAATGTTGTGTAAGATGGCCACGTGTTTAGTTGTTTGTATTTTTCCTTCGATCACAAGAATGAATTGCTGTATGCTGTGGGCTTTTTGAATATACTGACAAGATGAGTGCTAAGCTCATTTGATGTAATCAAGCTGTTTGTGAATTCAGTTTCTGACTGATGGTAGTTGGTTACACTGGGGCATTTAAAGGAGGACTCTAAGCCACCTGTTGCGCTTATTTGCTTATTCACTTTCTTCCTAAAATCATTGTGGAACTCAGATGACATTTTCCAAACTACGTCTCAAGTAAATCAGGTTATTGAGTGCTTCATTTTGTGTTAAAATATTTTATCTTGGCCTACGTAAGTACTTTTGAGACAAAGATTGTGTCTTTTATGTATTTATGTAGCATTTAGTACAAGACCCTAATGACTGCTTTTGGGTATTACTGTAATAAAAATACATAAGGTTTATTGGTAGCTAGAAAGTAAATAAAGGAGATAAGTGAGATAAATAACATTCAGAAATCCTTTGATTTACATCCTTAAAAAGTTCCCCCACATTTTTACATTGGGAGGGTACTGTCTATCTTCAGAATTTCTTATGTCATAAATCATTAAAATTATGTATGACATTTTTAATAACATTTATTGTTGGGATGTCTATAAACCACTTACCAAAAGGTGAGATAGTACCAGTGTTGCTACTCGATACCATTTATACAGAGACAACGTGATACTAGGTCAGACCAGAGATCATCTAGCTGGTATCCTGTCCTCAGTGGTAGTCAGTAACAGATGCCTTGAGAGTAGTGTAAGAACGATGCAAAAGCATAGTGATACCTCCTCAGAATACTTCTTCCAGCCTTCAATGATGCACAGCTTGGAGAGATCCAGAGCCAGGGGTAATGGTGTTTTATTTAACAGGACCTTCTATGAAGTATTCCTGTTGCTTGAGCCCATGTAAACTTTTAGTATCCATAATATCTTAAATGGTGCTACAGTTACAGTCAAAATATTCAGGAATCAGGACATACGTAAACCAAGTTTATCTAAACTAAATTTGAGCTCCTTTTGCATATTATCATTTTAGGTCACTTTTTCCATACAGAAATAAATTTGATTAGTGCTTGTGATAAACAGTGGTTGGTGATTTTAGTGCCTGAAGACTGGTTTATGTTAAACATAAAAGGAATATAGCAAATTACTCACTTAGCTAGAGGAAAGGAGAAATGAGAATTGGCTTTGCTTGTTCCTGTATGATGATAAGCAAGTGATTTAAACCCAAATATGTGTAGGTAGCTCCTGTTTGCTTATGGCTTTGCTTGCACCTACCTGTAAGTGCTGTCAGTGGTGACAGAAGCTGTGAAAACCAAGCATTTGTGCCAGTTAGTGTGACCTGCTCCCCACCCCCCAATAAAAATACCCAGAAGCTGCTGTCCCAAGCTTCTGTAGTCTGCTGTGAATGATATGGTAAAAAAATGCATTCTTATGTAAGAGCAAATGTAATTAGGTACTGTCCTTGTGGAAGTGTGTTAAATGAAAGTTGCATAGACAGCAGCTGATGATACTGTTGCCTAAACTTGGAGAATGTAGTTTTGAAAGCATAGTGTTGCTTTCAGGGGCAGGAGTGGTATATCAACTCTGTATGCAAACTACAGATGCACCTTTTTCTTCAAGAATGTGTATATCAGGGAGTGTTATATGCAGTCTAGTAGTTGAAATCCCTGAACATTCTTCCAGCCAGTTGAACTCATTGTATCCAAATTTCATCTCTTAAAGTCTTTGATGTAAGTTTATAGCAAATAGTAGCCTTCAGTACTTAACATGATTGGGACAAGGTATTAGTCATCTTTTTTCCCTAAACCGGCCAGTGAGTAGTACAGATGCCTTCTAATGAAGGGAGAGGCACCATTGGGACCATTTCTGATTTGTCTTTGGTTAAAGGAATAAATTTATCAGAGCTGATACAGACAATATACTGTGAACCTGGTATTAAAATTTTGCCAGTTGTGAATGTACATGTTTGCAGACACAAATATACAACGCTTGAATTGTCTGTAGATCACACGATTCATTTTTTGCTGTCGCAGTAAAAAAAGTTGATTATACATGTGTTGGAATATCTGAAATTCAGTGTAAGCACTTAGATAAACATTGAACTGCATGTGGTAAAATCAGCAATTTTTTGCTGAAGGCACAGAGTTCTTACATTATGACACGGATTGTATAAAGCTGCTAAGTGCACATTTGATTTCACACTCTATAAGTGGTTAGTGTATATTAATTATACTTCAAAAGGGGAACTAACTGAAAAATTACCATCAGGAGGAATAAACCAGTAATTATTAATTTAAATACTAGCTTGAAACTCGGTGTTGAAGATAAGTTAGTTATAGAATCTGCCATTTGCAAGCCACAGAAAGAGTTTTTGTCTTGGAAATATAACTGGTTTTGTTAGCAGCTAAATGCAACAGTAGTTTTCCAGGAGCCACAGTCAATAATGAGACACCATTTGTAGTTGTTAAAACACACAAATAAGCACCAATTCCTGCTTTAAGGTATGTGTAGTCAAAGTCTGTCATACTAGTTATAATACATATTGTAGAAAACAGGGAAGGTGCACTGGTAGGACAGCAAAAAGGATATGGATTTAGTGTAGGTTAACACTAACTGGAGTTACATTTTTTAAGAACTTGAATAAATAGCCTTAGTGTCCTTAGGGCATGAATATCTAAAATTTTGTTTGCCTGAGCAGCACTGATGTATATTTATTGTCATGCAGTCTTTATGCTGAGAACAGAACCTGATATAAAGCAGTGGGAGTTAATGCTATGAGCCTGTTCTGTCCTTCAGTGTTATTCGTGTCCGGCTCATCAAAGTACTGCGCTAAGCAGAAACATGTTTTTGGCTTGCATCAGAGTTCTTGGTCTTCCCTTGTGACTTTTGAAAAATCCTAGGAATTCCAGTTATGCCTGGCGTCGCAGATTGTGACTCCACAAACTGTGTTTGTCTTCTGTGAGGAAATCCGCTGATTATTGCAGTTCACCCACTTACCAGCATGATCATATTTGATGGGTCCAAACCTTTGCAGTATTGCAAATTAGAGCCTTGAATGATGGATCAAAGGGGCAGAGGGA